GCCTCGTGTGTTGCCTGTCACCAGTCGATGTTATGCTTGCTCATGAAATGAGCAATGAATGAGACTCATGAAATGACTTAAGCTGCAGCACCCTCAGGCCCTAGGCTATGGCACAAGATGTGGTGTACACCCTCCCTAGATCTACCTTTGGAGAAATTCTTCTCAACACACCTACATCCAAATAAGCCTCTGAAAGAAAAGAGCATAGGATTATAGTGTGTGAGCTTCTGAATCAGACAGATGAAGGCTTGAATTCTGGAGCCACCTCTCTCTGGGAAAATGACATCTTGGCTTAATGCCCTACTTCTAAAATGGTCCCCAAGACCACCAGGTTGGATGACTTGCTAGGTGGACTCATAGGACTCAGCAGACAGTTGTGCGCACAGCTATCACAGTGAAAGAATACAAAGCAAAATCCACATGGAAAAGGTGTATGAGGTGGAGTCTGGAGGAAACCAGGCACCAGCTTCCACCGAGTCCTCTCCCCGTGGAGCCATAGAGGACACACTTAAATCTTCCAGTGGTGAATTATGACCACACGTCTGAAATGTCTGCCATGGAAACCCATCAGAGACTCAGTGCACAGTATTGTTACTGGATGCTGGTCATGTAGGCACACACCGTGTGGCATATACTGATGTCCTTGACTTCCAGGAGAATGCAGGTGTTCAGGAGAAACCACACTTTAGGTGCCTGGAGCCATGTTTACCAGGGAATGGTGAGAACCCTCACGGAATCCAAGCTCCCAGGTGTTAGCCAAGGGCTAACCTTGTGAGAAGGCCTTTCAAAGGAAAACAGTCTTAGGCTTGCTCTTTTTTTTTTTTTTTTTTTTTTTTTATTGCGATGAAGTCTTGCTCTGTCACCAGGCTGGAGTCCAGTGGCACAACCTCGGCTCACTGCAACCTCTGCCTCCCAGGTTCAAATGATTCTCCTGCCTCAGCCTCCCAAGTAGCTGGGAATACTGGTGCCCACTGCTTGCCTGGCTAATTTTTATATTTTAGTAGAGGCGGGGTTTCACCATATTCGTGATATGGTTCCAGATTCTACATTGTAACTGTATAAGAAACAACCGCTTGTCAAGTTTTGGTGTGTTATCAAAGAATCAGATTGAGGCCAGATACGCGTAGTTGTTTTCTCTTTTGAAAGAATCGATAGATTAATAAACTTTTATATGTGAATGTTTTATTAGCATGCTGTGTACTTGAATCTTGGCATAGCTATTCACTGGTTTTCATTGATTGATTATTTCTGTTAAAGAACAAGAGGGACTTTATGCCTTTCACTTTCCTGACACAGAAGACAGGTTATGGAAGGAGAATGTTGATCAGAAAATATCAATAAAATGCAGTCTGGGGCTGCTGGACTTAGACAAGGTAGCTGTCATTTTGGTGTTTTTCTTTTTCTTTTTTTTTTTTTTGAGACGGAGTTTCGCTCTTGATACCCAGGCTGGAGTGCAATGGCGCGATCTCGGCTCACCGCAACCTCCGCTGCCTGGGTTCAGGCAATTCTCCTGCCTCAGCCTCCTGAGTAGCTGGGATTACAGGCACGAGCCACCATGCCCAGCTATTTTTTTTGTATTTTTAGTAGAGACGGGGTTTCACCATGTTGACCAGGATGGTCTCGATCTCTTGACCTTGTGATCCACCCGCCTCGGCCTCCCAAAGTGCTGGGATTACAGGCTTGAGCCACCGCGCCCGGCCCATTTTGGTGTTTTTCTATCAATCTGACTAATGACTATTTTTGTACTTATGAATTCTTTAGAACACCTGCTTTTCTGTAGGAAGAAAATGTTTGACTTTCAGTGACAGATGCAAATTATCCACATCATTTTAAATTAAGAGTTGAGGTAAAATAGAAGAAAAATAATGCCTAGGAAGTGACTAAAAATATACCTTATGATAAAATGTCCTTCTTCAGCCAAGCCAAGTATGAAAACACTTATTAGACATATTTTTTTTATCTTTTGATCAAGGCATAATTCTGTTGAAGAATAGTTTGATTTACAGAGGCAACTTTACTCTAACTTTTCATCGGGACCACTGACTTTCTCTTAAGTAGTTGCTTATTTTGTTTCAAGTTTGTTGCGTGGATGAAAACAGAGTATCAAATTATCATTATTCAAGTGGAAATCCAGCCATTCTTTATTCCTTTTTTCATAACACTGTCCTCCTTGGATCTGTTTCTGATCTCTAAGTCTTTGCAGATGTTTCTGAATTAAATTGCATTTCTGCTGCACTGCTTCTCTCCACTTCCAGTCCCTTCCAGTGCCTTCTGCAGCATTTACAACAAAACACAGAGCTTTGTACTCATAGTTTCAGTCGAAAGCATTCCTTCATTTAGGTTCCTGTAAAATTGGAGAAAAGGAAGGATGGAGAATAGATTTTTCAGTCTAAGAGTTTTTAAAAAAGACTTACTCCTTCAGAATCTCATCTTTAGCTTGCAGTTGGTGCCACCTGGAACTAGAAATTTGAAGCTTAGGACTGGATTAACCCGGTAGTCTTTGCTCTGTTCTCAAGCTTTCTATGTTGCAGAATATCTGTTTTTCATCTTCGTTTCATTCAAACTTCTTGAGAGTTATAGGCAGTTTCTTGGGGAACAGGAAAACAGTAAATTTACTATCTACTAGCAGCCTTTGCATGTAGGAGATTGACTTGCTACAGTAATATTACTCTGGAGATACTGAAGTATAAGGCAGATAACTAAATGAGAATAGTCTTCAGTGAGCAACTTGGATTCAACTTTGGTTCAACCCTTTTATCAGCTTTGTGACCTTGGCCAAGTCAGTCAAACTTTTTATATCTCAATTTTCTCATTTGAAAGTTGTCCTCCTCTAAGTGAGATGGTACATGAAAGTGATTTTGAACCTGCAAGATGCTCTGCATGTGTAAGTGTAAATAAAGCCAGCTATGTTAACATGGTGGTATCTTTAATACACTATAACAAAGATAAGTAAAGTGAATTCAAAATTTCTTACTAAACAAATTTAGGAAAAATTTTGTAAAAATTAGCTGTTTCAAAAATTTCACAAAGAAGGGAATGAACATTTTGAACAGATATGCATTTTGATAAATTGTTATTAACCCTCTGTGTATGAAATATACGTACATATAAAAGAATGTATATAATACCTGTGCACATTTTAAATAATAATTACAACAATAATTGTTTTCAAGACCAATATGGGCAACAGAGTGGGACTCTATCTCAACAACAAAAAGAAACCAAAACAATAATTACCAGTGTGTAATACATACCACCTAGCTTAAGAGACATAACATTTTGTATCTTTTCTTTCAACTCATTCGGAATCATGACTTTATTTTTATATTTTTTATGAGACAGAGTCTTGCTCTGTCACCCAAGCTGGAGTGCAGTGGTGTGATCTTGGCTCACTGCAACCTCTGCCTCCCAGGTTCAAGCGATTCTCATGCCTCAGCTTCCCGAGTGGTTGAGATTATAGGTGTGTGCCACCACACCTGGCTATTTTTGTGTTTTTAGTAGAATCAGAGTTTCTCCATGTTGGCCAGGCTGGTCTTGAACTCCTGGCCTCAAGAGATTCACCCACCTTGACCTCCCAAAGTGCTGGGATTATAGGTGTGAACCACCCTGCCAGCAGAATTGTGACTTTAAATACCTCATGTGTGCTAATGACTTGCAGGGCTTTTTTTTTCTTTTCTTTTCTTTTGACCTCTCCCCAACTCTTCAATTTAAATATGTAGTCTGGATTTCTCCCCTGAACTCCAGATTTGTGTATCTGGCTGTATACCTGTTACCTCCACTTGACTGTTTAATAAGTATCTTAAGACAACAGCTCTGTATCTTTATCTCAGTTCATGTAATCCCAGCACTTTGGGAGGCCGAGGCGGGTGGATCACAAGGTCGAGAGATCGAAACCATCCAGGTCAACAAGGTGAAACCCCATCTCTACTAAAAATACAAAAAATTAGCTGGGCATGGTGGCACATGCCTGTAATCCCAGCTACTCAGGAGGTTGAGGCAGGAGAATTGCCTGAACCCAGGAGGCGGAGGCTGCAGTGAGCCGAGATCGCGCCATTGCACTCCAGCCTGGGTAACAAGAGCGAAACTCCGTCTCAAAAAAAAAAAAAAAAAAAAAAAAAAAATAAGTATCTTAAGACAACAGCTCTGTATCTTTATCTCAGTTCATGGCTACTCTTATCTTTCCAGTTGCTCAGGCTAAAAACTTGGGGTTTTGAGTCCTCCTCCCCCCACAACCCACCACATCCCATATAGAAGCTATCTGCAGATCCTATTGACAGTTTACTAAAAATATATCTTGGATCTCACTTCTGAACACCCCAACTGCAAACCACACCCAAGCTATTGTGGATTATTGCTAAGACCTCCCGACTCGTATCTTTGCTTCTATCATTGCCTCTTGTGTAGTTTATTTTCAGCATAGAAGCTAGAATTATGTTGTTAAAGTCAGTCAGGTAATGTCATTCCTCTGTGCCTTCCCTTCCCAATCATGCAAAGAAGATACCCTATACTGTCTGACTCCATTAACTCCCCCATCTCGTGGACTATTCTTCTTTTTCCTCATTTTCTTGTAGCCACACTGGCATCTTTCTATTCCTCAAACGTGTCACTGAACATGTTAGTTTTGAAGTTCCCAGCTTTATGCTGGAGACTTCTGTGTTGACCTTTCCTTCTCGAGGCCCTGAGCTTTCTGACCTCTTCGGTGCAGGGCCATTAACACCCTACCTCTAGGCCATTAGGCCTGAGCTTATACCCTCAAGCAGAAGCCTTTTTTAGAATACTGATTACTTTTCTCACTCTGAGCCATTCCTTTGTGTTTTACATGGAATTTCTTCATTCTCACCAATTCAGCCAGTTATTAACAATATTCCATTTTATTTAGCATGTTAGGTGGCTTCTTCGTCAGCCATTTTGCGAGAGCTGAAAGTCTGATGAATTGTTATCAACTGGTGAAGTTAGAGCATTGATTTCTCAAAATAATTTTGTCTTTTCTTGGGTTGAAGGATGGAAGACTGCAGACAGGGGACCACATCTTGAAGATTGGTGGCACAAATGTGCAGGGAATGACCAGTGAGCAAGTTGCACAGGTTCTAAGGAACTGTGGGAATTCAGTCAGGATGCTCGTTGCTAGAGACCCAACTGGTGAAGTTTCGGTAACCCCTCCTGCCCCTGCAGCCTTGCCTGTCGCCCTGCCCACTGTAGCCAGCAAGGGCCCTGGTTCTGTGAGTATACGTATCATTTTTTTGTCTTAAACCAAGCCTGGGTGTGACACACTGTAAGATAAGAAATTCACCTTGAAGCACCACATTGGTGTGAGTTGAGCGCTCACCAGTGAAATAGGAAAAAAAAAAAAACCTCACTTGGAGACATCAGACATGTTCGTTTTCTGTTTCGCTGTTTCTCGGGGTGAAGTCATTCAACTTCTCTGAGCCTGGTTAAGTCATTCAACCTCTCTGAACCTCTGTGTCTTGTTTATAAGTTGAAGAATAATAATACTTGCCTTGTCGGCTGGGCGCGGTGGCTCAAGCCTGTAATCCCAGCACTTTGGGAGGCCGAGGCGGGTGGATCACGAGGTCAAGAGATCGAGACCATCCTGGTCAGCAAGGTGAAACCCCGTCTCTACTAAAAATACAAAAAGTTAGCTGGGCATGGTGGTGCGTGCCTGTAATCCCAGCTACTCAGGAGGCTGAGGCAGAAGAATTGCCTGAACCCAGGAGGCGGAGGTTGCGGTGAGCCGAGATCGCGCCATTGCACTCCAGCCTGGGTAACGAGCGAAACTCCATCTAAAAAAAAAAAAAAAATACTTGCCTTGTCATTGGGCTGGTGAGGGGAGAACTGTAAGAAAAAAAACTTCCAAGTGGTGAAGGGAAACCTGGAAACACGGGCTAATGTATGAGAATTACCACTGGTAGCCACAGGCTGGCTAAAGGGAGTGAATATCAATGGTAATATTTATTACAATAATTATTTTGGTTATATAATAATAATAGTTATTATTAACTATCAAGCACCTGGAATTATTCAGGTCATCTGAAATCTTCACAGGTAATTCTGCCAGTTAGGCCTTATTATACATTTAATAGATGAGGAAGATAAAGTCAAACATCACGTTAAAGACCTTACAGGGAGTAAGTTGTAAAACTGGAATTTGAATTCACATCTTTCTGGTCCATTTTAAGCTCCTTCCCACTCTCTCAACAGGGGCTTTTAATGAAGACATAAAAAAGTAATAGCAAAGAAATAGGGGGGTTTGTTTTTTTTCCGCTCTTGTTGCCCAGGCTGGAGTACAATGGCGTGATCTTGGCTCACCGCAACCTCCGCCTTCCAGGTTCAAGTGGTTTTCCTGCCTCAGCCTCCTGAGTAGCTATGTTTATAGGTATGTGCCACCATGCTAGGCTAATTTTGTATTTTTAGTAGAGATGGGATTTCTTCATGGTGGTCAGGCTGGTCTCAAACTCCCGACCTCAGGAGATCCGCCCGCTTTGGCCTCCCAAAGTGCTGGGATTATAGGTATTTACAGAACTGTTTAAAAGATGAGTATTGAAAATAAGTTTTAGGACCAGATGCAGTAGCGCACCTGTAGTCCCAGCTACTTGGGAGGCTGAATGGGGAGGATTGCTTGAGGCCAGGAGTTTGAGGTTGCAGTAAGCTACGATTGCTCCACTACACTCCCGTCTGGGTGACAGAGCAAGATCCTGTCTCTTAAAAAGAAGAAGAAGAAGAAAAGAAAAGAAGTTTTATGTCAATATTTTTATATTAGTTAACAATATAATTAGTCTTACCTTTTGTTCCTAAATTTTTCTTTATGTTCATGGTTCTTTGAGATACAAATATAGCCTTTTTTTCTAAGCGGTTATATTAGTTTTCTATTGTTGTATAACAAATTATAACAAATTTACTTGTTTAAAACAATATCCTTTGTTAGTTCAGAGTTCTGTAGGTCAGAATTTAGGGTGGGCTTGGCTGGTCTCTCCGCTTAGCTTTTTTTTTTTTTTTTTTGAGACAGTTTCAGTCTGTTGCCCAGGCTGGAATGCAGTGGCACAATCTCAGCTCACTGCAACCTCCACCTCCCGGGTTCAAGCGATTCTTCTGTCTCAGCCTCTGGAGTAGCTGGGGTTACTGGCATGTGCCACCACGCCTGGCTAAATTTTATATTTTTAGTAGAGATGGAGTTTCGCCATGTTGGCCAGGCTGATCTCCAACTCCTGACCTCAGGTGATCCGCCTGCCGCAGCCTCCCAAAGTGCTGGGATTATAGGTGTGAGCCACTGTGCCTGGCCTCTGCTTAGCTTCTCACACGGCCAAAATCAAGGTGTTGGCCTGGCTGGGCTCTTTTCTGGATGCCCTGGGGACAGTCCATATCCAATCTCACTCAGATTGTTGGCAGAATCTCGTTCCTTGCCACTGTAGGACTGAGGTCCCTATTTATTTGTCTGCTGCCAGCCAGAGACCTCTTTCGGCTCCTTAAGATCCCCCACATTCCTTGTCACATGACTCCTTCCATCTTCAAACCACAAGTTGAAGATCATCTTCTTTTTTCTGATTCAGATAATCTTCTTTTTTTTTTTTTTTTTTGAGACGAAGTCTTGCTCTGTCACCCAGGCTGGGGTACAGTGGCATGACTTTGGCTCACTGCAACCTCTGCCTTCTCCTGTCTCAGCATCCCGAGTAGCTGGGACTACAGGCATGTGCCACCACACCTGGCTGATTTCTTTTTTTTTTTTTGAGACGGCGTTTCACTCTTGTTACCCAGGCTGGAGTGCAATGGCGCGATCTGGGCTCACTGCAACCTCCGCCTCCTGGGTTCAGGCAATTCTCCTGCCTCAGCCTCCTGAGTAGCTGGGATTACAGGCACGTGCCACCATGCCCAGCTAATTTTTTTGTATTTTTGGTAGAGACGGGGTTTCACCATGTTGACCAGTATGGTCTCGATCTCTTGACCTCGTGATCCACCCGCCTCAGCCTCCCAAAGTGATGGGATTACAGGCTTGAGCCACCGCGCCCGGCCCCTTGATTTTTTGTATTTTTAGTAGAGACAGGGTTTCACCGAGTTAGCCAGGATGGTCTTGATCTCCTGACCTCGTGATTTGCCCACCTCGTCCTCCCAAAATGCTGGGATTACAGGCATGAGCCCCCGTGCCCGGCCGGATCTTTTCCATTTCCCTTTTTGCTACCAGCAGGAGAAAACTCTGCCTTTAAAAGGCTGTAGTGATGAGATTAGTCCACCTGGATAATCTCCCTTTTGCCATGTAATATGGCATCAATATGGGAGTAGAACCAGGGATTGAAGGTCATGGGGACCATTTTACAATTCTGCCTAACATAGATGTTAGGAAAATCCTTGACAAACCTTGCACAGATTGACTATGTACACACAGGTATGCAACTAAGCATGTATCATTAAATTTGGTTTTTCCTTTTAGGACACTTCTCTTTTTGAAACTTACAATGTTGAGCTTGTTAAAAAAGATGGGCAGAGTCTTGGAATTAGAATTGTTGGCTATGTTGGAACATCTCATACAGGTAAATGAATAATTTCTTTTTGGTTTTTTTTTTTGAGCATCTCACAGATCCATTTATTTATGCCATGAAGTAAATGGTACTGATACAAGTGTACAGTGATATTCCATGTGCCCCGTCTAACATGGCTTGCTCAGATTTACAGGCAGACTGACATTTTCTTTCACATGTATTCCAAGTAAGCTGGTTAATGACGATCATGAGCAGATGCTGCAGCTTTCGCAGCCTTATCTCTGTTATCAGTGGCATGGAGTTTACAAACGATGAAGTCCATCAGCCCCATTCCTACCCAAATCTCCTGGTAATCTTGGGTATAATAGGGTTTCAAGGGGAGCCACATATTTTTAATAAAACTTGGAAGCATCTTGGCGTAGGAAAGGCAGCTCAGGGAGCACCACAAACCCGCACTCCAAAAATGAGTAATTTCTATTTTATATTTGGAAATAATTGTAAAGGATGTTAAGGTTTCTAGATAGTAAAATTAAATACTTGCAGATTTTAATTTAAATCTTGAACCATAAAATCCTGAATCTATAATAGCAACCAGTCACTTCTCAGTGATTACAGAATCACATTTTTATCTCAATAGTTTTAGAGCTGGCTTGATAGTCATTAACAAAAAAATGTAATTGGTCACCTTCAGTGTATAATATTTGAATTGTACCTTCTTCGTTTGTAAAATAGATATGTTGTGGATATTGTTAACGTATTACGATAGATTAGATTTGTGATAAGTAAATTGATTACTGTATTTCATATTGTGAATGTTCCTAAAGTATGAGTATTATGTTTTATCACTAAAAAAAAAGTTAAACAAGCATTTTCATTAGAACTGTTTTCCTTTTGTATAAAAGGAATAAACTGTGAGAATAAATACACAGTTAAAGTATCTCTGAATAAAACTCACTCAACTCCTATCTGCAAAGCTTTGATAGCTTTCACTATAAGATTTATTCCCTTATTGTAAGAGAATTATTAAGGTAAGAAAAATAAGCCTTTCTGCAAATATTTGCCAATAATATGAAAATTCAGAGTTATAAAATGTTCTAGTTTTTTTTAATAGCAAGACTACAGAGTTAATTTCCTAAAAAAAACTGTTATTTTGCATACTTACAGCAGGTGGAAGGATTAAGAGTGCTAATGTATTCAAAGTCCTGAATGAAATTCATGTCAGACCACCTTGTGCTATTTTAGCCTGATGAAATATCTCTTTTCAAATCTTTAGATTCTAAGTGCCACCTTTATTTAGGTTCAGAATTTAAATGACATTCAAAAGAGCTAAGTGTGGATTGTATAATAATGTTACAAAAAAACACATGAAGTAGTTTTTTTTTTTTTTTTGAGATGGAGTTTCGCTCTTGTTACCCAGGCTGGAGTGCAATGGCGTGATCTCGGCTCACCACAACCTCCGCCTCCTGAGTTCAGGCAATTCTCCTGCCTCAGCCTCCTGAGTAGCTGGGATTACTAGGCACGTGCCACGACTGCCCAGCTAATTTTTTAGTATTTTTAGTAGAGACGGGGTTTCACCAGTGTTGACCAGGATGGTCTCGATCTCTTGACCTCGTGATCCACCCGCCTCGGCCTCCCAAAGTGCTGGGATTACAGGCTTGAGCCACCGCGCCCGGCCCATGAAGTAGTTTTTAATATGCTAAGTCTGGTTAGAGGAATCATGATTTAGTTCGTAAACTTATGGTTTAGTTCCTAAGTGAAAGTGAATGAAAAAATTTAATGTTTATGTTACTGAATAAAGGAAAGTATCATTTAACTATATTCCTCCTTCTTCTTTTTTTTTTTGAGACAGAGTCTTACTCTGTTGCCCAGGCTGGAGTGCAGTGGCAGCAATATTGGCTCACTGCAACCTCCAACTCCCAGGTTCAAGAGCTTCTCCTACCCCAGCCTGCAATTAGCTGGGACTGCAGGCATGTACCACTACATCCAGATACTTTTTGTATTTTTAGCACATTCAGGGTTTCACTATGTTGGCCAGGGGTCTCAAACTCCTGACCTCAGGTGATCTATCCGCCTTGGCCTCCCGAAGTGCTGGGATTACAGACGTGAGCCACCACACCTGGCTCATTTTACTTCTTTACCCTCAAAAGCCCCCCCCCTCCTTTTTTTTTTGAGATGGAGTCTAGCTCTGTCGTCAGGCTGGAGTGCAGTGGCGTGATCTCAGCCCACTGCAACCTCTGATTCCCAGGTTTAAGTGATTCTTCTGCCTCAGCCTCCCGAGTAGCTGGGATTACAGGCATGCACCACCAGGCCCAGCTAATTTTTGTATTTTTTAGTGGAGATGGGGCTTCACCATGTTGGCCAGGATGTTCTTGATCTCCTGACCTCATGATCCGCCCAGCTCCCCATCCCAAAGTGCTAGGATTATAGGTGTGAGCCACTGCATCCAGTCTCAACATGCTTTTTAGCAAGTAGTCTTTGAAAATCATTTTTGCTCTATTCTATTCATTGAACTTTTGAGGAGTTCTGGAGAGAGTAGAAAATGAGTAAGATAAGTCTGTTCAGGGAGAAACATGTAAGCAGCACTTAGTTCTTTTTTAAAAATTATTATTTTTTTTTTCTGAGACAGAGTCTCACTGTGTTGCCAGGCTGGAGTGCAGTGGCATGATCTCAGCTCACTGCAACCTCTGCCTACTGGGTTCAAGCAATTCTCATGCCTCAGACTCCCCAGTAGCTGTGACTTCAGGTGTCTGCCACCACACCCGATTCACATCCTACAGATGTGAAATTTGCAGATATGGGGACCAAGCAAACTATCATGGTATGGCAGATGACATATTCAGTTTGTCAGAGGGAAACAGAGAATTCACGAAGAAGGTGGCATTTGAGTTATGAATGGAAAAGAAGAAGGTTTTTGATAATTCAAAGTCATTGCACTCCAGCCTGGGTGGCAAGAGCAAAACTCTGTCTCAAATTAAAAGGAGATCATGTGTACTTTTCTTATTTCTGTGTCTGCGAAGCTCACATGAGCAGTGAACTAAGTATAAGCCGGAGAACCTAGGAGACTCTTGTCATAGTGATTGTAAAAAAAAACGATGAAGTCGCTGGGTGTGGTGGCTCATGCCTGTAATCCCAGCACTTTGGGAGGCCGAGGTGGGCAGATCGCGAGGTCAGGAGTTCAAGACCAGCCTGACCAACATGGTGAAACCCTGTCTCTACTAAAAACACAAAAATTATCAGGTGTGGTGGTGCGGGCCTGTAATCCCAGCTATTCAGGAGACTGAGGCGGGAGAATCGCTTGAACCTAGGAGGCAGAGGTTGCAGTGAGCTGAAATTGCGCCACTGCACTCTGGCCTGGGTGACAGAACAACTCCGTCTCAAAAAAAGGAAAAAAAAGAAAATGATGAAGTCATATGCCACATCAGCAGTAAGAGTAGAGACAGACTAAGAGAGAGTCAAACTTACTCTGGATTCTGAATTTCAGCTTAGATTAGAGTACATTTATCAGGGTTCCATTACTGATTATTTTTCCAGAAGAGTAGTCATCAGTCAAATCATTTCAAATTCGGGTCACTTGAGATGGTGACAGTTTGAAGTAATCCATCAATTTCTCTGCTTGTGTTCAAAATAGTATTTATCAAACCTCCAGTCAACCCCGTTAACTAATTAACCTCTTGATACAAATTTTGCAATCAAGCCCTAATTAGAATTTTCTTCCTTTTTCTGTATGTCTGTGCACCTTAAGGGGAAGCTCCAGGGATTTATGTGAAAAGTATAATACCTGGCAGTGCTGCATACCACAATGGCAACATTCAAGTGAATGACAAAATAGTTGCTGTAAGTAACTAGCCTCTGTTTTAGATTTGATTCTAGTTGAAAAAAGGCTGATCGTTATTATAATATATATGAGAAGAGGATGGCTTAATATAGTTTTATAAAGGTTTTTAAAAATTAAGTTAGTACAGTGAAATCTCATTATTTTGAACTCTTAATTTTTTTTTCACTGTCAGTGAAGAAAGGATTCACTAAACATATTGGTACAAAAAATATATTTTTCTATACATATATGTTTGAAAGATGTTCTAGCATTTTCTAGAAAACACCCGAGTACAACACTGTGTTCTTTGAACTCACCCATTTTATGTATAATGAATAGACCATTAACTCGCTTTTTTATCTTTTTGTGAAAGTAGTTTTTTCTGTTAGCAATAATTATGCATACAACTAAAATTGAGATACTTTACATATCTAAGAATATAATAATTACCTTTTATCAATTAAAACTGGCCTTTTCCCCATTTGGTAGAAATTAGTTCAGTTTATATATATATATGTATTAATGTCTACACACACATTGCTTAACATAGAAACAAATATTGGGTGGTATGATTTGGATCCTTGCCCTTCAAATCTATCTAAGGCAGCACATTTCATGACTCTTGGCTTTAAAAGCCTTGTGGGACAGTTGTAATACTTATAGCTAGCACAAAGAAGATTAAGAGAGGAAGCCTACTGGTTATGATAGACTTCAGGAACTGGGCTTGACATAGATTAAGAATACTGTTCTTGCCGGGCGCGGTGGCTCAAGCCTGTAATCCCAGCACTTTGGGAGGCCGAGGCGGGTGGATCACGAGGTCATGAGATCGAGACCATCCTGGTCAACATGGTGAAACCCCGTCTCTACTAAAAATACAAAAAATTAGCTGGGCATGGTGGCGTGTACCTGTAATCCCAGGAGGCTGAGGCAGAAGAATTGCCTGAACCCAGGAGGTGGAGGTTGTGGTGAGCCGAGATCGCGCCATTGCACTCCAGCCTAGGTAACAAGAGCGAAAACTCCGTCTCCAAAAAAAAAAAAAAAAAAAAAGAATACTGTTCTTGAAAAAGAATACTTTTTCAGAAAGATAGAGGACCTATTGGAGGGAGATCAATGTGTTTCTTGAAAATATCATGTGGTGTGAATACAGGGATGAAGTATTAGATGACCTCTTTAGTTTTGTTAATAACGGCTTCTGTTAATACATCTTGAGAGCTGTATGTAATAACTGACCATCTTTTATGGGATTTTGAATTTTGAATTACATCAGAGATTAAAATCCTTTATATCTCTCAGGCTGTTGGTTTAAGTGACTAACTTAGGAGTACAAATTCGAATTTGCTTTCTAGTGTGTGAGGAAGTTTCTCAGCATGTTTTACTAGTTTTACACCTTTATTTAAAAAATACATCCTAAAGTCTAAATTTACTTACTTACTTACTTATTTCTTGAGACCGAGCCTTGCTCTGTCGCCTAGGCTGGAGTGCAATGGCATGATTTTGGCTCACTACAACCACCACCTCCCAGGTTCAAGTGATTCTCCTGCCTTGGTCCCCCAAGTCGTTGGGTCTATAGGTGCACACCACCACACCTGGCTAATTTTTGTATTTTTAACAGAGACAGGGTTTTACCATGTTGGCCAGGCTGGTCTCAAACTCCTGACCTCGGTGATCCACCCACCTCGGCCTATCAAATTGCTGGGATTACAGATGTGAGCCACTGCACCTGGCCTAAATAATTTATTTTTGGAATGAAAGGATTTGCTTCATTTTATTCATTGTTGCCAGAGTTAAAAATAGTAGCTAACTTGAAACCTCTGTTTAATGTTTCTCTTGATGTTTTAGGTCGACGGTGTGAACATTCAGGGTTTTGCCAACCAGGATGTTGTTGAAGTATTACAAAATGCAGGGCAGGTGGTACACCTCACCCTAGTTCGAAGGAAGACATCCTCATCTACTTCTCCACTTGAACCACCTTCAGACAGAGGTGATTAATGCTGCGACCCCTCTATCTCTCAAGTAGTTTGCATTTGGAAGAAGAGTTCAATTATGGAAGTTGCTCCATGGGTCTCAGAAGGAAATGTTGTCCCACGTCGTGTGATGCAGTGATGGAGAAATGAGTCAGCTTATTTGTTCATTGAGGAAGTGTTTCCTTTGCTTATTATGTCAGTCAGAATAGTAGGATGTGCACCCTGACATGCACTAAGCTCTGAGAGCATCTCTAAATAGAGATGAAAATCATTTTTGCTAAAAGCTTTCAAATTTCATTGATTACATGTATTTGAATAATAAAGGTTTGACATCTTTTGTTGGGGAGATCTCATTTGTCTAATGCTTTGACATTTTACAGAATTGAGGTTTCCTATTACTTTTGTTTTTACGACAGTCTCACTGTCTTGCCCAGGCTGGAGTGCAGTGGCACAATCTTGGCTTACTGCAACCTTTGCCTCCTGGGTTCAAGTGATTCTCATGCTTCAGCCTCCAAGTAGCTGGGACTAGAGGCATTGCCAGCACAGCTGGATAACATTTTTTTGTACTTTTAGTAGAGACAGGGTTTTACCATGTTGGTTAGGCTGGTCTCAAACTCCTGACCTCAGGTGATCTGCCTTCCTTGGCTTCCAAAGTGCTATAATTACAGTTGTAAGCCACTGTGCCCAGCCAGGTTGCCTATTACTTTTAGCAATATATTTTATTCTAATCTGCCTCTTGATTTACTTTTTGAAGTATAGTGAAAGAAAATAAAACATGTATTCGTATTTTTTTTTTTTTTTGGACAAGTCTCACTTTGTTGCCCAGGCTGGAGTGCAGTGGCACGATCATGCCTTCAGCCTTACATGCTGGGCTCAAGTGATCCTCCCACCTCAGCCTCCTGAGTAGCTGGTACCACAGGTGAGCACCACCATACCCAGCTAATTTATTTTTGTTTTTATTTGTAGAGATGGGGTCTTTCCTGTGTTACCCATGCTAGTCTTGAACTCCTAGGCTCACATGATCCACCTGTCTTGGCTTCCTAAAGTACTGGGATTACATGTGTGAACCACAGTGCCTGCTGCATGTCAATTTTTAATTATCAACTTATAAATGTATAGATGGACAAAAGTTGATAATCATGGAAACACATATTCAATTTAGAATGAGTGACTTACTGCCTGCAGTAATTCTAGCCATGCCTGGTGGCTCATGCTTATATTTCCAGCACATTTAGAGGCCAAGGCAGAAGAATCACTTGACGCCAAGAGTTTGAGATTAGCCTGACCAACATAGACCCCTTCTCTACAAAAAGTTAAACATTAGCTGGGCCTGGTGGCACCCACCTGTAGTCCCAGCTACTCAGGAGGGCTATGGCAGGAGGATCGCTTGAACCTAGGAGTTTGAGGCTGCAGTGAGTAAAAAGGTGCCACTGCATGGCCAGCCTGTGCGACAGAGTGAGACCTATCTCTAAAAAAAAAAAAAAAAAAAAAAAAAAAGAGTGAGTATAACTAAGGAGTAAGAAATACTTGAATTTGACAGAAAATAAATGAATTTTTTTTTCCTCTGGAAATATTCCTCTGAAGATACAATATACCTGGATGCCTTTGCTTTCAGCTGATATTGATTTATGTTTAAATTGGACCTTTTTTCTTTTATGTGATAGAAGACCTTTTGTTGCTGAAAGACAGATGCCCTGTCAACTGCATCGAATGTATAAAATTAAAAATTGCCGGCCGGGCGCGGTGGCTCAAGCCTGTAATCCCAGCACTTTGGGAGGCCGAGACGGGTGGATCACGAGGTCGAGAGATCGAGACCATCCTGGTCAACATGGTGAAACCCCGTCTCTACTAAAAATACAAAAAGTTAGCTGGGCATGGTGGCGCGTGCCTGTAATCCCAGCTACTCAGGAGGCTGAGGCAGGAGAATTGCCTGAACCCAGGAGGCGGAGGTTGCGGTGAACCGAGATTGAGCCATTGCACTCCAGCCTGGGTAACAAGAGCGAAACTCCGTCTCAAAAAAAAAAAAAAAAAAAAAATTGCCTAAATAGTACAAATTGTACAAATACCATTTTGACCTTAAATGGCTTATATAAATATTCATATAAATATAATGGTGTTTAATAGCTCTGATAGAGCGCTTGGCTTCAGTTTATCATACCAACTGAATGTAGGTATGCCCAGTATCTGTGAATGAGCAATTTTTGATTAGCAAACTCTTGAGACAGGGTTTCGCTCTGTTGCCCAGTCTGGAGTGCAGTGGTTCACTGCAACCTCTGCATCCTCAAGCTATCCTCCCACCTCAACTTCCCAAGTAGCTGGGACCACAGGTGTACGCCACTGCACCCAGCTAATTTTGTATTTTTTGTAGAAACAGAGTTTCACCACGTTGGCCAGGCTGGTGGCTAACTCCTGTGCTCAAGGGGTCTGCTCACCTTGGCCTCCCAAAGTATTGGGATTACAGGTGTGAGCCACTACACCCAACCTGACAATTCTTTATTGAGCATTCCTGTATTTTAAGTTTATGTTGGGGTGAATTCTGGCTCTAAATGAATCTGTACCCCTCACTCCATGGTTTGGGTCTCTTTCTTATGTGCTTCACTTGCACCCTTTGAAAAGCATGGTACTGTAGCGTTTAGCACACTACAGTCACCTGTTTCATGTGTAGGACTATACTATGGGAAAGTGGTTAAGTCTTTTTGCCTCCAACCCCCTATCCCATGTCACACATCTTTGTGTGCTTTGCATCATGTCAGCATTTAGAAGTCTGTTTTACTGAAACAAACTACACATCTTCTTTATTTTTGAGACGGAATCTTGCTCTATCACCAGGCTGGAGTGCAGTGGTGTGATCCCGGCTCACTGCAACTTCCGTTTTCTGGTTTCAAATTCTCCTGCCTCAGCCTCCTGAGTAGCTGGGACTACAGGCATGCACCACCATGTCCAGCTAATTTTTTGTATTTTTTTTTTTTTTTAGTAAAGATGGGGTTTCACCCTGCTGGCCAGGATGCTCTCGATGTCTTGACCTCGTGATCCACCCATCTTGGCTTCCCAAAGTGCTGGGATTATAGGCATGAAACACGGCGTGCGGCCACAAACTGCACATCGTTTACCTCTCACATAATCCTCCTACCATTTGAAATCTTACTGTTATTTTCTCCTCTTTCATTTTCTTCTTTTTATCCTCCTTCTGTCCCAGCCTCCCAAGTAGCTGGGACTGCGAGTGTGCACCACCACACCTGGCTAAATTCTAAATTTTTTGTAGAGATGGATTTTTACTGTGTTGCTCAGGCTGGATTTGAACTTCTGGCCTCAGGTGATCCTCCCACCTCAGCCTTCCAAAGTACTAGGATTACTTGTGTGAGCCACTTTGGCTGGCCCAAAAATTTATTAAGTGTGCATTAGGGTATTGTGAACAATATGCACATTGTCATACAGCATATTGCTAGACTTTTTCATCTTGTGTGATTGAAACTTCATACCGATTAAACCACTCCCCATTTCCTCTGTCCCCCAAAGCCCTTGGCATTCTCCATTCTATCTTCTGGTTCTGTGTGTTTGGCTGCTTAGATACTTCATGTAAATGGAATCGTGGAATCTTTGTCTTCTGACTGGCTCATTTCATTTTGCATAATGTCTTCAAGGTTCACTCTGGACAGAATTTCCTTCTTTTTTAATGTTCCATTGTTTGTATATACCACATTTTCTTTATCTGTTTATTCTCCTGTTCACTTCAGTTGCTTCTCCCTTTTGGTTATTTTTTTAAAAATGTTGCAGTGAGTGATTGGCTTTTCTTTTTCTAGCACCAGGCTGTGCATTTACTGATATCATGGATTAATGATCTAAAAGCATTCTGTTTGGTTTAAAGTCTCATGTTAAGATCATAGTATATTTTTCAACATTTTATTTAAAAAAAATTTAACATACAGAAAAAGTGCCAAATAATATAGTGAATACCCACAAACCTACCATTTAGATCCACTAGCTAACATTTTCCATATTTGCTTCATCTGTTTATTTTTTTTCCCTGAACCATTTTAGAGTTAGTGGTAGACATCAGAATACTTCCAGCCTATAACTTATAAAAATGAAGATATTCTTTTATATAACCATGATAGTATTATCAGTGCAAAGAAAATTGATACTGATTTCCTAATACCAAATACCTAATCTGTACTTAAAATTTTTTTTCAGTTTCTTAGTTTTTTGCTCCAAAATATTTTTTGTAGATTTTCTTTCCACTCCTCCTAATACCCCCTTCAAAGAAACAAACAAAAAAACAAACAAATGCCAAGCCCCCAAACCAAGATCCAGTTATGCACTGCATTTATTGTATTTGTTATGTCTCTTTGTTTTGTTTAATCTAGAAGAATACCTCCCAGTGCCCATGGTATAGACTTTTTGAAGCCGTTAGTCCCTTTGTCACTAGAATGCCACATTCTGAATTTGTTTCCTTATGGTGTCCTTAACTTATTCTACCCATCATTAGTTTCCTATGACTTAGAAGCTAGATCTATAGTCTTAGTTATATTAGATTATTATTATTTTTTTTTTGGAAACAGAATCTCACTGTGTCACCCAGGCTGGAGGGCAGTGGCACAATCATGGCTTGCTACAGTCTCCATCTCCCAGGTTCAAGTGATTCTTGTGCCTCAGCCTCTCCAGTGGCTGGGATTACAGGCGTGTACCACCACACCTGGCTAATTTTTATATTTTTAGCAGAGATGGAGTTTCACTATATTGATAAGGCTGGTCTTGAACACCTGACCTCAAGCAATCCACTTGCCTTGGCCTCTTAAAGTGTTGAGATTACAGGTGTGAGCCACAGCACCGGGCCTTAATTATTTTTGATAGGAATATAAGTGATGTGTATTATTTAAAAAACAACCTAGAATGACTCTTATGCAACTGATGGATGAGAGTTTTTTTTAAAAAACATGGTCTCACTCTGTCACCTAGGCTGAAGTACAGTGGCACGATCATAGCTTACTGCAGCCTCAGACTCCTGGGCTCAGAGAATCCTCCCACCTCAGCCTCCTAAGTAGCTAAAACTACAGGTGCACGTCACCATGTCTGGCTAAGTTTCAAAGGTTTTTGTTTGGGGGTAGAGATTGGGTCTTACAAAGTTGCCCTGGCTGGTCTCAAACTCCTGGCTTGACATGATCCTCCCACCTTGGCCTCCAGAGCGCTAGGATTACAGCCATGAGTGACTGCTCTTGATCAGTTCTTCTATTATTTTACTTAGCTCAATTTAGTAAAGTGAGGAATCTCTACACCCAGGGGAATTCTCTCAACTCCCTTCTAAGTAATAAGGTTACCTGTGTAGACTGGTTTGTCAGAGTCATGATGATGTAATGCCAGAAGCTGGGAGAGCCCATAGCAATTGGTCCAGCTTATTTTTCAGATCTTGCTTTCTGCCCACCATAAGAGTAAGAGCTTAGGACCTTAGCATTGTTTTCTTTTCCAAGGATATATTGAAAAGCATCTAACCGCTTCTTTGTCATTGAGTTTATCTTGCTTTTCTCTTCCCATTGTTTGTTCCTAATCCTTTTCAGTGCTATTAACAAGTTCATTTTTTAAGGAATCGATTGGTTATCTATTACACATGGGATTTTGGGTTTGAGGAATGCTCTGTGTAAGTTACCTCAGATTTAATAAGGTAAAATGGAAGAACAGGAGTAAAATATGCTCACTTAAATATAGTCCTCACACTAATGATTCAAGTTAGCATTAAAAATATTAATTTTTTTTTTAATTAGGAACTGTTGTAGAACCACCAAAACCACCAGCTGTCTTTCTAACTCGAGCAGTGGAAACTGAAACGAATTTGGATGCTGAAGACGACGAAATTGAAGAAAGAATGGATCATTTAAACAACGACAACATACAAGCCTTAGAAAAATTGGGTAGGTGCCAAGCATTCACTTTGCAATCATAGACTCTTTCATTTGTTAACCATTTTCTCTCTTTATAGTTAATATAATGTGAGAAATCTTACAGGCATTTTGGAGATATAAAATAGGGTATTCTTAATATCAATGTCTTTTTTTTTTTTTTTTGAGACGGTGTTTCATTCTTGTTGCCCAGGCTGGAGTGCAGTGGTGTGATCTCAGCTCACTGCAACCCTGGCCTCCTGGGTTCAAGCGATTCTCCTGCCTCAGCCTTCCTTGTAGCTGGGATTACAGGCATATGCCACCAGGCCAGGCTAATTTTTATATTTTTAGTAGAGACGGAGTTTCATCATGTTGGCCATGCTGGTCTTGAACTCCTGCCCTCAAGTGATCTGCCCGCCTTGGCCTTCCAAAGTACTGGAGAGCCTTGCTAGCTAAATGCAACTCCTTGGATACTTAACACTACCCATGTTCCTAAGAAGTTTTGGCTTTTGGCTTTGTCTTGTCTGGGGTCAGGAAAGAATAGCCTGAGGAAAAGGAGTTAACCTCTTTTTCAGGTTAAAACATTTCCTATGATTTGGAAATTTACCTTGTTCTTTTTGACTCAAGTAGATGCAGTTTATCTTTGCAAATCTGAGTTGAGCTCAGATTGTCAGTAAAATGTCAGATGAAAATCGAGTATATTCTGAAGTTAGAAATAGTTTTAGAAATATTTTTTCCATAATAAATGTTCATTTTTTAATCATTATAATGACAAGACAAAGTTTTTTATATCACCATTACACTCATGCTAGGGATAACAATACTCCTCTATTATAAATGCTGCTTGACCTTTTTAAAACATTATTTACTTTGCTTGGCATAACTGGGCATGCTTAATAAAAGGAAAAAAATGATAAAACATTCCATTTATTTTTTACTAATCAAAGCACTTAATTTTATACAGTTTGCATACAACTTTTAATGTCAGTAATAGAAGCAATGAAATTATTTTACTTCTTGATGCTTAAGACCTTAACTTCAAGACACGCACTACAACCATATGATAGATTTTTGTCATTATTATGATGGTCTTGGCATCTTATCTATTGTTTCTTTTTTTTTTTTTTGAGATAGAGTCTCTCACTGTCACCCAGGCTAGAGTACAGTGGTATGATCTTGGCTCACTGCAAACTCCACCTCCCAGGTTCATGCAATTCTCCTGCCTGAGCCTCCCAAGTAGGTAGGGTTACAAGCGCATACCACCACATCGGCTCACTTTTTGAATTTTTAGTAGAGATGTGGTGTCACTATGTTGGCCAGACTGGTCTCGCTCTCCTGACCTTGTGATCCACCCTCCTCGGCCTCCCAAAGTGCTGGGATTACAGGTGTGAGCCACCATGCCCGGCTTATGTTCTCATTTTAAATTAAGTCCTATTTGCTAAAATGAAAACAGGTAAAGACAATGAACAGATGGTTCCTGTAAGAGGAATACCAAAAAAAAGCCAATAACAACACTGACATATCAACCTCATTTGTAAAGAAAGAAATACAAATTTAAAAAATCACATACCATTTTTTAGTTATATTGACAAAAATTAAATAAAAAAGAATACCTGCAGTTGACCAGGGAGTATTAGTTTGAGAAATATTTTATGTGTGCTTTTTGGATCAACTTCACTGTATTTTTTTCTTCTTGCATATGTATAATTTTAGCTTTAGAGTAAAACCAAAATCTGCTAACTGCTATGAGGTTAGCTCTCTTTTTGCCTTTGGAATATTTCTTTCAGATCGTCATGTTACCCAATTTTGTATTGTTTTGTGTAGCTGCTGAAAGTAGGTCTCTTTTCTTTAGCACTTAGGCTTTTATACTTGCTTTTAAACTCATGACTGTGTTTTCGTTGTACAACTAAAAGATAAAAATATAGTCAAAAGAATTGCTGGTGAAATATGAACATTATTTTATACATTTATATTAACTGTCATATGAGTGCCATATTTTTAAGCTTAGACTTCAACAAATAAATTGTAATTTCGTTCAGATTTGTTTACCAGACAAGAAATTGCTGCCTAGAAAAAATTTATGAGGCAAGATGTTATAACTCTTAATGTAATTTCTTTTTATTTATTTTTTTTTTTGAGATGGGAGTTTTGCTCTTGTAACCCAGGCTCGAGTGCAATGGCAGGATCTCGGCTCACTGCAACCTCCGCCTCCTGGGTTCAGGCAATTCTCCTGCCTCAGTCTCCTGAGTAGCTGGGATTACAGGCACGCGCCACCATGCCCAGCTAATTTTTTATATTTTTAGTAGAGACGGGGTTTCACCATGTTGACCAGGATGGTCTCGATCTCTCGACCTCGTGATCCACCCGCCTCAGCCTCCCAAAGTGCTGGGATTACAGGCTTGAGCCACCGCGCCTGGCCATTTAATGTAATTTCTTAATGAAATGCTAACAGGAATAGGCACAAAGCTGCAGAGCCCAAATGAATTTGATTTTTTGTTTTTAATAGGATCTTTGGTTAGTTATCCCCTAAATGTAATCTAGCATAGCAGTTAATATAGTTATTTCATGGGTATTCTTTTATAAATGTAGTAATTTAAGTTCTTTAGTGTTCATTAGTCTTAGTCACTGATTTTTGAGGTTAGCCTCTTTCATTTAATGATTTGTATTATGTGATTAAACATTATATGCATCCAAGATGAGCTGTCCGTGCTGAAGACTGAAAGAACTGAAACTGCAAGTTAATTTGATTTTAGGCAGATGGTTATGTCAGTTGTGATAACTGTTCTGTGACTTGTCCAACCTTAAGACAAAATTGAGATAGTTTTTCTTTAAGTTAAAAAAGGTAGAAGTTCATTTGCTGCTACTGTTATGGGTACAAGTTATAACTTCAGTTTTAGTAGTTTGACTTTGCCTATTAGACGTTATTCATACTATGCACCGTGCACTGAGCTTCTGTGGAGTTCAGGCAAGACACTTACAATCTGTTTTAGCTCTATAAAATTTTCTATACAACAAAGGCAGTATTACCCTCAAGAAAGTTATCAAGATATAAGTATCCTAATAACCAAGCAACAAAAGATTGATGTCAAACCAAAGTTCCTATTATCTTAAAGCTCATGCAACTTTAACTGAATTAAACTAGACAGGGCTTTACAGCTGCCCATGTGAAAAGTCTGATTGTATTGTGTTGATATGCACTGCTGATAGTAAGGATATCTTGATACATTTTTAACTTTTCTAGTGGACAGCTGAAATGGTACTGTTTTGAAGTGATTAACATTTAAATGAAATCCTTCTATGTCCTAATGTATTGTAAAGCAAAGCCAGATGCATTTTACTTGTAAACCATAGGATGTTTACATATAAGCTGTATATAATTTAAATTTCATGTATAACTCATCATGTCCTCTTTCCTTTAAAGTATCCCTTAACAACAAAAGCTCCTTCATAATTTGGTCACAGCTGGTCTTTACATTTTACATTAATTTTATAAGTCACCTCTGATTTACTTTACCTGGTAGACCTAAGTTAATGCATTTTCCTTTTTATTCATTTCCCCTTTACTTACTGAAACCGGGCTGTTATTGAAGAATTTAGTAGTTAAGTGTGTTTGGCTCACAGTAGTTTCAACATTGTCTCTCTCTCTTTTTTTTTTTTTAATATCCAGAAAAAGTCCCAGCCTCTCCAGAAAATGATCTGAAATCCACATGGGAAAAGCTATTGGGTCCTGATTATGAAGTAATGGTATGTTAAAATGCTCTAATGAAAAACACTCATGTCTCATTTCACATCAAGTTTCTAACGCTACAATTCAAAGAAATGGGAGAGTCAAAGAAGAGCCAGCCTGCCTTTATTTTTTCCTTCCTGCCTTTCTTCTCTATTGAATCAATCGATTTTTTCCCCCGTCTTTAGCATTTTAAGCTATAAGAATAATTAAGGACTGCACACAAATTTCAGTTACAATTAGCAGACACTCAGTTCATGTTGAAACCATTTAAGTCGACAATAGACAGAAAACTGTTAGAGAGGGCTTGGCTTTAAATTTATAACCTGTATCAGCTGCTTAAAATTGCTGGCATTTTTATGATCACTTTTATGATCTGTTTGTTTTATTGTACACTGAAAGGACTGTGGATATTAGTCCTGTGTTTCACAAAGAATCTTACAGTTTTATGTGAAAAATGAAAGAATGATTATCAAATATATTTAGAAGAACAGGAAGTAATTTAGGTTTGGTATAGGTTTATAGTGCCAGTGGTCCATTAGACTTCCTTTCACCTGTTATTAGATTCATTGAGCAAGGGATTGATTACATTTCCCCATGTGAATCCACATGAAAGCAGAAAGTTGTGCTTAGACCAGCCTTTACACTGCTCACTAAATGCATTAGTAATAAAATATTCTTTTAAATTTCTACTATCATTTACATTTTCTTACATATGTTTATTATTAGTACTTGTTGGCTGGTTGGAGATTTTAAAAATCTTTTGACTTTACATTATGTAGCCACTATTTTTTGTCAGAAAATTCCCAGTGTCATTAAGATGAGTCAATACAATTCATACTTTCTCTTGGTAACTTTATGCTTGCATGTCAGTTCCCTTGAATTGTTTCTTTGCTTCATAGATTTTGAATATGGTTATTAAGCTATCACCTAGCAAATGGCCTTTCCCACTTATCTTAGTGGTTTGATATTCCAAGAAATTTGCTGTACAATATTTACAAATGGCCAGTTTTATGATGGGCTCTTTTTTTGTTAAAAAACATTTTTTTTTTTTTTTTTTTGCTAGGTGTGGTAGCTCATGGCTGTAATACCAGCACTTTGGGAGGCTGAGACGGGCGGATCACCTGAGGTTGGGAGTTTGAGATCAGCCTGGGCAACACAGTGAAACCTTGCATCTACTAGAAATACAAAAATTAGCTGGGTGTGGTAGTGGACACTTATAATCCCAGCTACTTGGGAGGCTGAGGCAGGAGAATCGCTTAACCTGGGAGGTGGAGGTTGTGGTGAGCCAAGATTGCGCCACTGCACTCCAGCCTGGGTGGAAGAGGGAGACTCCGCCTCAAGAAAACAAAAACAAAAAAAACATTTTTTTGAGAGACAGGGTGTTGGAATTCAGTGGTACAATCACAGCTTGCTGCAGCTTCAACCTCCTGGGCTCAAGTGGTTCTCCCACCTCAGCCTCCTGACTGGCTGTAAGTACAAGCATGAGCCCCCATGCTTGCCTAATTTTTCAAATTCTTTTAGAGATGGTGTCTCACTGTGTTGCCCAGTCTGGTCTAGAACTCCTGGTCTCAAGTGATCCACCCTGCTTGGCCTCCCAAAGTTCTGGGATTACAGACCTGAGCCACTACCAGCCTTCTGTTAAAATTTTATTCTCCTTATAACTAACCTTTTCAATTTCATTTATTACATGGTGAGGTCATAGCAGAGAAATTAGAGGAGACAGAATTTGAAGTTGGGAATTTAAAGTGACAGCTTATACATTGAAAGTTGTAGCATCTTGTTCTGAGGAATGCGGGAGTTAGAAAGAAGCCAAGAATGATGGAGAATGAATGAATGCGTGTACTCCAGTATTTCTTAGTTCACTTTCTTCCAGGATCTGCTTATCTGAAACACAGTACTTTCAGAAGGTGTTGTTGGGTCATTGTTTAACTCAGGCATCCCCAAACTACGGCCCACGGGCTGCATGCGGCCTCCTGAGGCCATTTATCCGGCCCCCCGCCGCATTTCAGGAAGGGGCATCTCTTTCATTGGTGGTCAGTGAGAGGAGCACAGTATGTGGGGCCCTCCAATGGTCTGAGGGACAGTGAACAGGCCCCCTGTGTAAAAAGTTTGGGGACGCCTGGTTAACTTATACCTTCCCGTCAGATGCATCATATTTTATTAACAACTTACAGATGCAAATCATCAGTAATGTACTTTTGCTTGCAAGGAATTCACTTCTGTGGATGTCCACCATTGAAGCTTAGAACAATAGTTTTAGGCCAGGATTAAAAGCTTTAAGTATTCTGTTAGCTTCCCACCAGGGACCAGGCCTTTCTGTTTGTGTCTTTGCCAGCTATTTCTTCTGGGGAAATGGTTTGAGCTTACTGTGGAAAGTCAGATGCTTTAGTTTTCCCAAACTCCTCTGACTTTACTGACTTTGCAAATTTTGTTTTGAGGCTTGAGTTTGAAATTAAAAATGGCCATACTCTTGATTTTGTCAAAAGAGTAAGATTTTGATGCATTCAATGTAACAGAGGATTATACTAAAATATTAAGGATCATGGATTTTTAAAAATAGTATATATGTTTGTCTGTCACCTTCTGTTCAATTTATGCAACTTAGGAAAAAAGATTGTTGTGGAGAACAGCAAGAAAAAAATTGATATACTCTGAGATTTCACATTATGTGTTATAGATTTCAAAAATATAAGAAAGATATTAGAATGTAGGTCAAATAGAGTTATCAATATGTAGGTTTTGCAGATATTTTCAGAAAATTTATAGAAAATACAATTTTACTTATACAAATATTGGAAATTTTTTTGTAAATTTAGGTTGCTACTTTGGACACACAGATTGCAGATGATGCTGAGTTACAGAAATATTCAAAGGTAAGCATTTATTATTTTTTTTAATAACAAAGTTAACAGTGTTTTCTTTTGTTTGTTTTTTTTTAAGAGATGGGGTCTCACCGTGTTGTCCAGGCTGGTCTCAAACTCATGAGTTCAGTGCAATCCTCCCAAAGTGTTGGGATTACATGTGGAGCCACTGAACCCTGCCTGTTTTTCTGTCATCTGAAGAACTTTCTTTAAATTCTTGCTGAAGAAACTAGTGCTGTAACATAAAGTTTTCAGAATTTAGTCTTGTCTGTTTCCTGGAAATGTGACAGGCATTGCTGTTATGAAAAATGGTGTCTGGGAAGAACATGGGATCCCTGTGTCACGTCCAGCAGCCAACACCCAGGTTTGACTCTTTTGCCCACTTAGAGGTAGTATGCAGAGTAACACTGTACAGTGTATATTAGTTTCTTAGATATTATAAGAAGTCCTTTTATAAAAGTTTCCTAAAAATCAAGACCCAGCAATCCGCACTTTAGAAAAGCCTTCAGGTTCAAATATTCCAGGAAAGAAAAGTGGTTTATCTTCTGAGTGTAGGCAGTGGTGGTTCTTGAACTTAAAACGTTTTTGGTAAGCTTTATTTCTGGTGGCAAGGTGCCAGAAGGCAACTTCTACAGTTTTTTTCCCCAACATTTTTAGTGTTCTGTCACTAAAAGTTCCCATTCTGGATAAGCAGAGGTCAGGGCAATTGAAACTTAAAGAATCCTTGTGGGTGGGTTCCTCAACAATTGGTAAGAAAGGAAAGATGTTCTTGCCTGAGTGTTTCAGAAGTCATACTGTAATTCCACATGGTACGTGAGAGCTGAGCCCACCCTAAACTCTTCTGTCACATGCAATTTTAAAAATGTATTTTCTGCATCCCATGCAGGTTTCATAAAACATTGAAAAGTCTTTAGATAGTGCTACCATTTTCTTCTTTGTTGAGTATTATTTGTAATGAATATTTATCTTTCATAATTTTATGCTATGTGTACCATAATTTTATAGGTTTGGATTTTTGGATTTTCTTTTTTTTCCTTTTCTTTCTTTCTTTTTTTTTTTACGATGGAGTCTTGTTCTGTTGCCCAGGCTGGAGTGCACTGGTGCCATCTCAACTCATTGTAACGTCTGCCTCCTGGGTTCAAGCGATTCTCCTGCCTCAGCCTCCTGAGCAGCTGGGACAACAGGCATGTGCTAACCACGCCCAGCTAATTTTTTTGTTTTTTTAGTCAAGTGTGAGCCACCCTGCTGGGCCAGGTTTGAATTTTCTTTTTTTTTTTTTTTTGAGATGGAGTTTCATTCTTGTTACCCAGGCTGGAGTGCAATGGCGCGATCTCGGCTCACCGCAACCTCCGCCCCCTGGGTTCAGGCGATTCTCCCGCCTCAGCCTCCTGAGTAGCTGGGATTACAGGCACACGCCACCATGCCCAGCTAACTTTTTGTATTTTTAGTAGAGACGGGGTTTCACCAAGTTGACCAGGATGGTCTCGATCTCTCGACCTCGTGATCCACCCGCCTCGGCCTCCCAAAGTGCTGGGATTACAGGCTTGAGCCACCGCGCCTGGCCAGGTTTGAATTTTCAAGGCTGACACTGGAAAGTCTTTCTTTCCTTCTCAGCTTACCAGCATTTTGAGTCACTTCATTGTGACCATGTTGGCCAACTGACCAAGCTTTCCTCAGATGTACAAAATCTGTGGAAAATACAAAAAGCAATATGGCTCATCTTGTAGTTCAATTTTAAATTATTTACAAAGTCAGATTAGCTTAGAGTAGTGACTAATTATTAATTCCCTCTAAATATATTGAGAGGGATTTAATTCAAAATAAGAGTAAGAAATAAAATACCAGGCCAAGCGCAGTGGCTTACTCCTGTAATCCCAGTACTTTGAGGGGCTGAGGCAGGTGGATGATGAGGTTAGGAGTTCAAGACCAGCCTGGCCAACGTAGTGAAATTCCATACTAAAAATATAAAAATTAGCGGGGCATGGTGGTATGTGCCTATAGTTTCAGCTACTCGGGACGCTAAGGCAGGAAAGTCACTTGAACCCGGGAGACGGAGGTTGTGGTAGCTGAGATCAAGCCACTGCGCTCCAGCCTGGGCACCAGAGTGCGACTCCATCTCAAAACAAAACAAAAAAAACCCCACACAAATACCTCATCAAACTTCATTTGTTATTAATTACTACATTATAATATACTCATTACATGGATTCTAGAACCAAGCTGCCTGGAAATTCTGGATAAACCAGAATTTAATAGCTGTGCGGTCTTGGAAAATGACCTAAACTCCATGTCTCAGTTTTTTGTATGTAAAAAAGAAATATTAATACTTGCTTCATAGGTTTATATAGGAATTAACTATTTAGGAATTAACTATATTATGCTCAATATTGTATATGCCTCATAGATTTATATAGGAATTAACTATAATATGCCTAGAATAGTTGTAAGCACATAGTAGGCTTTTGGTCTTTTTTTTGAGATTGAGTTTTGTTCTTGTTGCTTAGGCCGGAGTGCAATGGTGCGATCTTGGCTCACTGCAACCTCTGCCTCCTGGGTTCAAGTGATTCTTGGCCTCAGCCTCCCTAGTAGCTGGGATTATAGGCGCCCACTACCACTCCTGGCTAATTTTTTGTATTTTTAATGGAGACAGGGTTTCACCATGTTGCCCAAGCTGGTCTCAAACTCCTGACCTTAGGAGAAGCCTTGGCCTCCCAAAGTGCTGGGATTACAGGTGTGAGCCACTGTGCCCAGCTAGGCTCTTATTATTATTTTTATTATTATCGTATAAATCAGTGACATATTTTCCTGCAATTGCTCTTTAATTTACACTATTAGATATTTTTTGTTTAACTGTCTTACAGTTTACTAAATTTCCTGTGCATAATCTGCTGCTAAAGCCCATCTATTAAGTGCTTAATTTTAGTTATTTTTTCTAGTCTGGAATTTCCATTTTATTTCCTTTTAGTTTATAATTCTCCAATGAAATTCCCAATGTAAAAAAAAAATCTATATTTTTTATCTATTTCTATATTTGCCATCTTCTCCTCTATTTCTTCAACATGTTAACCATAGCTTATAAAGACTTTAAGTAATTCCAATATCTGGATCAATTCTGTCATTTGATGTTTAGTCTTATTGTTTGGGTGTTTCTCTTGTAATAATGCCAAAATTTGATTAAATGTCTGATGGCTACAAAAGGTGTCAGATGATACTAGTTATCTCTGTTCAGAGAGGCCTTACCCAGTCTGCTAATATGGTGATAGAAGGAGGGAAGGGAGTAGAGACAGAGAGAGAGAGAGAGAGAGAGAGAGTGTGTGTGTATGTGTATGTGTTTGCGTGCATGTGGGGTGGTATTGGTGGGTGCTCATCTTAGACATGGGCAGAGATACAGTTCTGGTAAGGATCAGAGTAACTCTGGTTTGCATTAGTTTTAAGACACAGACTTAATACAAAAAACTAGCCAGGCATGGTGGCACACACCTGTAGTCCCAGCTACTTGGGAGGCTGAGGTAGGGGAATCACTTGAATCAGGGAGGTAGTGGTTGCAGTGAGCCAAGATTGCACCACTGCACTCCAGCCTGGAGACAGAGTGAGACTCCTTCTCAAAAAAAAATTTTTTTTTTTAAATTAAAAAGAGACACAGCCTTGGCCTGGCACCGTGGCTCACACCTGTAATCCAGCACTTTGGGAAGCTGAGGCAGGAAGATCACTTGAGGTCAGGGATTCAAGACCTGCCTAGGTATCGTGGTGAAACCTTGTCTCTCCTAAAAATACAAAAAATTAGCCAGGCATGGTGGTGGGTACCATAATCCCAGCTACTTGGGAGGCTGAGGGAGGAGAATTGCTTGAACCTTGGAGATGGAGGCTGCAGTGAGCCGAGATTGTGCCGCTGCACTCCAACCTGGGCAATAGAGCAAGACTCTATCTCAAAAAAAAAAAAAAAAAAAGACATAGTCTTCCAGATAATCCATTAAAGACCCTGGGGGTGTTTACCAGTTCTGTTATCCTGGTGGAACCTGGACTCTAATTCTCTCTTCTTAGTACTCTGGGCTACTGAAATATTTACTTCGCTTTTTCAAGGTTTCCTGATTATCTTTTCAGCCTCCTGTGCCATATTGCTTTAGAACTCAGAATATGTCCTTGCGGGGAAATCCTGCCCTGATCAGGCTCTGCTCTTCACGCGGTTCAGCTTTATTGGTCCTCCCACATTCAAAGCCTAAGACCCTGAATCATCATGTTTTATAAGTAAAAGACAACAAGGACAAAAGGCACAAAGCACACTTTGTGTACATTTTGAAAGAGTGTGATTCTTTCTCTAGGCAGAAGATGTTCCCTCTCACTCCTTAGTTCTTTGCCTCCAGTCTTACTGTGTCATCTTTCCTGATCAGCCTCTATGCTGTATACACACACACACACACACACACACACACACAGACACACACACACAAAGTTTGTACTCAGTAACTCTAGTGTAAATGGGCAGAAGGGCTTTGAGTTGAACACACTTTCAGAACCACCTTATACAAACTCACTGGTCCATTTGGCTGTTCATTTATTCATCAAATATGTATTATATGTACTCTGCTAGGTCTGCTACTAGGTTCTAGGGCTCCAGAAGAGAAGAAAGCAAGAAGAAAAATCCCTGTCCTGTAGAACTTATACTTTAATGGGAGGAGGCCAAATATAAGTAAGCTATGCTGTATAGGTGATAACGTGCCATGAAGAATATTAAAACAGGGAAGACAGGGGATTCAGGAGAGACGGTTAGTTTAGAAGTTTAGATACGTTGGTCAGGGAAGGCTTAAGAAAGTAACATTTGGGCTGGGCGTGGTGGCTCATGCTTGTAATCCCAGCACTTTGGGAAGCTGAGGTGGGCAAATCACAAGGTCAGGAGTTTGACACCAGCCTGGCCAACACGATGAAACCCCATCTCTACTAAAAATTTAAAAATTAACTGGGCATGGTAGTGGGCGCCTATAATCCCAGCTCCTTGGGAGGCCGAGGCAGTAGAATTGCTTGAACCCTGCAGGTGGAGGTCGAAGTGAGCTGAGACTGTGTCACTGCACTCCAGTCTGGGTGACAGAACAAGACTCCGTCTCAAAAAAAAAAAAAAAAAAGAAAGTAACATTTGATGAAATGCTTTTGGCTGTAAAATAACTGACCTAATTTTTTCTCTAAATAATAATAACAATAATAATTGTGTTGTAGAAGACTAAGGAGAAATATATTTCATATGTACCTTAATATAGCTCAGTGTCAAGATAAAAGAAAAATCCAATAAATGATAGCTTTTTTTTCAGTTATATGCCTCTAGCACTTTTAAACTGACCTTTCAAAGGTCTTTTTCTTTTAATATGTTTTTTAAAAACATTTAATTGATTGAAATTTTGTTGTGGCAAAAAGTTGCTTTTCTTCTCTATTTTCTGCACTGGAGTGAAAAAGAGTCCCCCACAATTGCATTATTCTCTTTTAGTATTCAGTTGTTAGCTACATATTTGTATATTTGCAGTCAGTATTACCTGCCTTTTGTTTTGGGGTGTGTGTGTATGTGTGTGTGTGTGTATGTATGTGAGATAGAAGGGATGTACAGTTTTTCCATGTAACATTATCATATATTTTTACATTTTTCTCCATTAATTTCTTATTAAATGTTCACAGAATTTTTCTTCATTTTCATCAGCTACGATTTTTGAAAATCCTCTTACAACTGGAAATTTGCATCTTAGTTCAGCAGCTACTAGTTTCTCCCCACAATATGTAAAGGAGATTTTAACTAACCAGTCAAAACTGATTTCACAGACAGGAGGATACTAAAGGTTGCCTAGGTTGAATGACTTGACCAGAATTATACAACTAGATGGTAGCAGAAGCAGGTTGTAGCTTAGACTGCATCCATTCCGGAACCGTTTACTGAGCTTCTACTCTGTGCCACCATTTGTGGGAAGCAAAACTGAAAGCGTTCTTGCTCTCATAGAGCTTAGATTCTGGGATTGTATAGGGGTGTGGTAATAGACAAATAAAAAAACTTGATAAGATAGTTGTAGATTGTAAGAAGTGCTGCAAATGAATGAATAGTAAATTGAGCGGGGTGGGGGACACTTTAGAGAAGGAGCCCGGGAAAGCCTTTCTGAGCCCAGGCTTGAAGGATAAGAATGTGATGAACTGGGGAAAAGAGCAGCAGGTACAATAGCTCTGCCTTGGGAAAGGGCTGGTATGTTGAGGGAATAGAAGTTGTTTCTTTCAGAGTGTCTGGGTCAAACTTAGTGACGAGCAGAATATTGTTAAATGATGCTGGAGAGGAGGACTAGGCGTTAAAGGGCCTGGTGATATGCGTGGACTGATAACACCAGTGGGAGGTTTTGAACTGGGTTGTGTCTAAGATCTGAGGCCCAGGCTGGAGGTTTTTCCTCTGTCTCATCAGCTTTCTGATTAGAACAATTATGTTTCTATGGGTCTAGCTGGTTTTAGATGGTTGCCATTCCATGGCCACCACTCTTGAAGGGATGATTCCAGAAGCATCTTCATGACTGGGCAGGGTGGCTTATACATACAATTTCTGCATTTTGGGAGGCTGAGGCAGGAGGATCTTGAGACCAGGAGTTCGAGACCAAACTGGTCAACATAGGAAGACCCTGTCTCTATATTAAAAAAAAGAGAAGCATCTTCATATATTATGGGCTAATGTTAATAGATAAGGTTTTCTTCTGAGGTAGGTGGAGTTGTGGAGAAAGAGGGAGGTGAAAGCTATTTACAGAGACTTAAGCATTAACTGCACTGCTTCTAGGAAGCTGTTAATCATGACACCAGAACAGTTTTCCCGCATCTAGGGAGACTTGCACTTTCAGGGATGGCTTTCTTGGCAAGTGTTTACTATTAAGATAATCACAGCTCTATGAGGGAGAAGCATTAAGCTCATTCTAGTGACCTTTCTACTGGCCATCAATTGTAATACAAAGTGAGCATCAGTAATGTCGCTTCTGTGGAAAACAAAAACACCAGGTCCTGTTCTCTGGTTTTGACAAAACAGATTGACAGATTTCACTTTATTTCTCTCTTGAGTTATATTTCTTGACCCAGAGAACATTAAAATGTGGTTTTCCACTTTCCCCACCACTTTATAATGAACAAACATAATTTTAAAGTCAAGTGGGATGTACTGGGCTTTCCAAGAGTTATAGTGGAGGTTACTGTTCAGTTACCAGGGCCGGTTCTTTGCTTTAAACATATTTACTCTTACATTTTTAACAGTAACCTTATTGGTCAGCAAGCATTTCCTCCTTCTCATTTTTAATATGGGAAAATTGAGTGTCAGGCAGGTAAAGTAATTTACCCAAGATCATAGGCAGCTAGTAAGGCGGTGGAATTAGGAAACAAATCATGTGCTCACTTAGCCAGCACATATACTAAAATTGGAACGATACAGAGAAGATTAGCCTGGCCCCTGTGCAAGGATGACGCGCAAACGCGTGAAGTGTTCCAGAACTATTAAAAAAGTAAATTTATAAAAAAGTTTTTTTAAAAAAGGAAACAAATCAAGGGTTATCTGGCTTCTAAGCTTGCAGCATTCTTTTTTATCTTTTAAATTTTAAATAGATAATATATGCTCAAGACATAGAATTTAAAAGGTATAGAAATACGTACTGCAAAAGGTCATTTGTTTTCCCACCCCATTCCTCTCATCCACAGAAGCAATGCTGTTATCAGTTCTCAAGCATGTAATTTTATACTTTGCTGTTCTCTTTTTAAGTTGCACACGTAAGACACACAATCAAATAACCCTATAGTAGCAGCAGTTACCTACTAGTGCAGGTGGCATATCAGAAACATCAGAGGAGCTTTTTCTTTTTTTGTTTTTGAGATGGAGTCTCACTCTGTCACCTAGGCTGGAGTGTAATGGCTTAATCTTGGCTCGCTGCAACCTCCGCCTCCCAGGTTCAAGTGATCCTCCTACCTCAGCCTCCCAAGTAGTTGGGATTATAGGTGTGCACCACCACACCCCGCTAATTTTTGTATTTTTGGTAGAGATGGGGTTTCACCAGGTTGGCCAGGCTGGTCTTGAGCTCCTGACCTCGGGTGATCCACCCGCCTTGGTCTTCCAAAGTGCTGGGATGACAGGCATGGGCCACCACACCTGGCCCAAAGCAGCTGTTTCAAAACACAGATGTGGGAATGCCTTATTTTGTTCCTCCTTGCCGATACTCTGATTCTGTAGGTTTGGAGTGAGGTTCTTACAGGAGTTTTGATTCCTTTCTTGCCTCACTCCATAGAGAATTATTCAGATGTTGCTAAAATGACTGATATGTGTTCAAGAAGGATATTACTTCCTCAAGACAGATGGAGGCTTATTGGTAGGATGGCATTTAAACTGTACTCTGAAGAATAGATCTGGAGTACAAATGAGTACAGTGGGTATTTCAGGTGAAGGCACTGCTGTGAGCATAGGTAAGGGGAGACAGTCAAATACAAATTATTAGATCAAGTATCAAAAATTTAGATATTTCACATGGGTCAGACAGGAAACATAAATGATATCTAAAATGCTAAATAGCAACTGACGCTTGACCTTGCTGTTAGGTGACTGAAGAGATCTTTCAATATACTGCTGTACAGCAGAGTACCTGTTACACATTTTTTGAACATAATGAATTAAAATTTTGGAGGGTGCCAGGTGTGGTGGCACATGCCTATTATCCCAGTACTTTGGGAAGTCGAGGTATGTGGATCACCTGAGGTCCGGAGTTCGAGACCACCTGACCAACATGGTGAAAATACATCTTTACTAAAAATACAAAAATTAGCTGGACATGGTGGCATGCACCTGTAATCCCAGCTGCTGGGGAGGCTAAGGCAGAAGAATCACTTGTACCTGGGAGGCAGAGGTTGCAGTGAGCCGAGATTGTGCCATTGCATTCTGGCCTGGGCAACAAGAGCGAAACTCTGTCTCAAAAACATTTTAAAAAATAAAAAATAGATAAAATTTTGGAAGGGTGAGAAAAACAAATATAAATAAAGCTCTAATGTACAATTGATTGTCTTATAACCTCTGAGGGAGCACAACTAAGTTCAGAGGCCATTGTGCTTGTGGTTCACCATTACTTTAAACTTATAGCCTCATTCTTAAAAGTTTATTTTTAAATTTATGGTAAATTTAGTAACTCCCTAATCTTTAAACATAAATGGCTATTTAATACTTTGTGTATGAGAGTTACAAGAACCAGTCATGGGGTTCTTCCTGTTCTATTTTGTGTCGAGTTCAACATTTTTGGAGAATCCTCCCCCATCCCACTGACACATTTTTGAAGCATTCCTTTCCAGAAGTTTCTTCTCCCCCTGAAGCGCTGTCATTTATATTCCCACTTAAGCATTTTGATATCTTGTTTTAGTATCCTAAAAGTAAAGCTCTGTGCAAAATGAGTGAGCTGCAGTTTGTTTCCCAATAAGTCTTGCCACTTGCAGGTGGAAGACCTCAGTCCTTCTTGATCTCATTTGATCTTCATCGTTTTTACGGACAGTAAAGCACATCATGGTCACACTTCTCTTTGATGCATGTCCTTGTATCCTTTACTTACATCAGGATCATGAAACTCCTGTTCCTCCTTAACTTTGTCAGTTTAAATAGAACCCCTCACGAAGCACGTTGAATAAGCATCCAAAAGCATGACATGCGGCAGTGTGTGGAGGCACCAGTCATCTGTTTCACCCACTCTGTCCTTTCGGTACTTTCTGCTCCCTAACAACGCCACATACTGAAAGAGGTGGACACCTGAAGGAGACAGATTCAACGCTTGATCTGTTGAGTTGCTAAATGCAGCTGGGACAGGTAATTAAACAGTCCTGCTCCCGCAGAGGAGCCTGTAGCAATGTAACATGAAATCGTAGAAACCCAGCTGTACTCAGATTTAGATTCAGAACTAATATTAGGTAGGCGTCCTTCAGATTGACAGATTTAGTAAACATCATTTCTGGTTATTTGTTCAGCTTGATTGAAGATAGAGCATGTGTGTTTTGCTCACCATTTAAGTTTGCTAGGGAGCCTGTGGTGTTTACAGATATCTGGGGACATAGTCTAGAAGGCACAGCCCATGTCTGGAGGGCCCAGGATGACATGGGTGAGCCTCTGTGAATCCTGACTCCAGCTGTTCCATGGAGGTGGGAATGGGGGTCATCATGTGAATAAATGCGGATTGGAAGGGGATTGGAACTATTTCTTGCCTTAACTCTTTTATCTTGGATGAGGGCATATTATTATGTAAGCAGCAAAGATCTCTGTGTGTATAGCGGGATCTTTGTTTTAATTTGGGCACTTATTTCTATGCAGAAGTTGTTACCACCATTTACTCATTTGCTCAAACCAGAAATTTAGCAATTATCCTTTTTGCTCACCTCCCACAAGCCATCCCCCAGTAGGCTTTTTTGTAGGGCTGACTCACTGTTATCCCTCAAGTCTCACCTTAAGTATCCCCTTCAATGTGGAGCCTGCTCTGACCCACTTTCCAAAATGGCCTCCACCAGAGGTGCTCTGATGCCATGACCCTGATTACTTCCTTGTAGCCCTTCTCACAGTTAGTAACTGCTTGTTTGGTTTTTACACAATGGTCGTGCATTCCTTGGATGCATTTCCTTGGATTCCTTGCTTATCATATCAGAACCATGATCATCCTGCTGCTTGTTGGTTGGCTGGTTATTTATGTATTTGCTTTGCCCACTTACCTTTTTGCCTATTTATTATCTGTCTGCCATGCTGGATGTTAATTCTAGGAGGGCAAAGACTTCATCTTGTATTTCCAGCTCATAGCCCAATGCCTTGCCCATAGTTTGTACCCCGTACATGTATGCTGGATATCTTGTCCAAACTATATCACAGATCCGTGGTATGCTGGCAAGTTTCTAGCTCTCAAAAAGGAAACAACAACAACAAAAGGCAGCTCCACTTTGTAGCATGTACAAATATCTGTGGCATAAATACCGCCACCATGGCAGGTATGAAGCTACCAAAATGGCGTCGCTGATCAGTGACTTGAGAGGCAATGCACAGTAGCACTTTATTGCTGCAGGCCTCTCTGCAGGAGTAGGGCTGTTTAATTACCTGTCCCACCTGCATTTAGCAGCTAACCAAATCAAGCATTTCATGTGTCTCGTTCGGTTGTCCACCCCTCAGTATACTTTGAGTTCTGATAGAGAGTGTTCCTCTTTGTACAGATATAGTAGATATAAATCACTTCATGAACATAGCTATTAGTAAAAGAGTGAAAAATAATTAGGAAGTGATGGATTTTGAGTGCTCGATACATTTATTTTTATTAATTGTAACTTTATATGGTTTAATTTTTCATCATAGCTGTGCTTAACCATTGACTGGCAAAATCCCTGAGAATTGAACAGTCTGCTGTTCAAACCAGTATAAGCCCCAGCACCACACTGGGGATGAGCTATGGTGGATCCACTGGCACCTCTCTGCCCTATCGCATCTGGCTCATAAACAAGGAAGGAAGACAGTTGGCAGAGATGGGTGGTAAACTGTTAATTCAGGAACATTTCTCTGAAAGCTTTTCCTCACCTCCTCTAGACGTCCTGCTACATGACACTAATGTCTCTTTAGCGTATCCGTACCCATGATTTGATACAGTGACAAGAGAATGAAGTGGGGAAGAGTGAGGAAGAGAGAAAGCACAGACAGGGAACAGGAGGAAAAACACTCTTCACCTTCCATTTAGAGAACTAGAACATCTTGCCAGAGATGGCTGTAGATCCTGAAGTGCTTAGTGATCAGGAGCATTCAATCTTCAGGAAATGATCCCAGAGCTGGAAGTCCCTATGTCTTCACTGAGGTCTTAGTCAGCCAGACTCCTTGCCACTGCACATTTGTCTGCATGTCTATAGCGGGACAGGAGTGAGCCTCAGATGGTGTCTGAAGTGGGGCCTGTGACACTCTGGGGACTGAAAGCAGAAGACTGAGGGAGGTGGCAAGCTCAGGGATAGAGGATCACAGAGAATAGGAAGAGCGCCACATGGTGGATGCATTGCCACCCTGTGGAGGGTGTTCTCCTTATAAAGTATAGTTAGAGGTAAGTCTGGTATTTTTAGGTATCAGACTATTGATACAGGAACTGTCAATCATAATGAGTACCATTTACCGTATTTGAGATTATAAGGCCAAATGACAAATCATTAGTCTGTCTTTGAAAGTCAGGGGAATGGAGTTTGGTGAATGCCCTTAACTGTTACAACCAACAAACATAAATAGAACTAAGACACTCATCTCTTTGCTCGGCATTGGCTAGAGTTTCTCAGCTCTTGACTCATATCTTAGCCCATATGAACCCTCATAGACCTAGAATGGGTAAATGATTGCCTTTCCCAAATAGGAAATGTTTTCACTTAAATTGGCTAGATGGAAACGGGCATCTTAGATGAAGCACTATCTTTCATGGATTGATTCAAATAACTTTTAATGAACCCATGTTTAGTGCATGGTACTGTTCCAGGGCTGAGGTTATAGAGATTAGAGGTACAAACTCTCCATTCAACTAAGGGGTGGAGGAGGGATAATCAAGAGACTAGGAATTCTCAACATGGTGAAACTCTGTTTCTAGTAACAATACAAAAAAATTAGCTGGGTGTGGTGGTGCATGCCTGTTGTCCCAGCTACTTGGAAAGCTGAGGCACGAGAATTGCTTGAACCCTGGAGCTGGAGGTTCCAGTGAGCTGAGATTGCACTGCTGTACTCCTAGGCAACACAGTGAGACTGCGTCTCAAAAAAAAAAAAAAAGAAAGAAATTCTAAGCCCAGTATGTTGTGAGCTATGATGGAGAGGTGCACAGGGCAGTCTTGAACCCCAGATGGAGGCATCAGGGCTTCCTGCCGTGGTATTTAAGTGTGAGTAGAAGTTAATTAGATACTAAAGGAAAGTTAGGTTGTTCTAGGGGATGAGGAGCCCCATAGAAAAGTGAAACACAGCATACATACTGGGGACTACCAGAAGTGCGGACTGGAATGGAGCTTAGAATTGAAGGTAAGACTGTATGCTTCCATTTCTTCATTTCCAGGGAATCTGGAAAGAAAAGAGGAGTGGTAACAAGATGACCAATGACTTCATAATTTTACCTGACACCAGTTTTCCCATTATTGTCTTCTTTTAGGATTTTGGTGATCCGATTTAAGAGGTGGAGTTTTTCACTTCAAAATGGCACTGGATGGAGGACAAACAGCAGGATGTGTCGTCATGTTTGATCATTGCTTTGTGTTTTGCCACAGTTGCTGCCTATTCACACTCTGAGGCTTGGTGTGGAAGTGGACTCCTTTGACGGGCACCATTATATTTCTTCAATTGTTCCTGGTGGTCCTGTTGATACATTGGGTCTCCTACAGCCAGAAGATGAGCTGCTTGAGGTAAAATTTATGAAGAAAGGAAGGCACAGCCAGAAATTTTTAAGTTTCAGAAAAATATGTTCTCATCACAAATCTCCTGAGTTATAGTGTCACCAATGCCAACGTAATGTGAGCCTCTTAGATTGAAAAACAATGAACAGCTTACTGGATGATAAAGAAGTAGCTATGCTTCAGTTCATTTTCCTCATCTTTGGGACTCCTGAGATGTTCTTTGTTTAAACGAATGACTAGGAAATAAATTTGATGTAGTATATTATATTCTTTTTTTTTTTTTTTTTTTTTAGCAAAATTTGAATCCCTGAGCCTTGTTGCCACATGTAGCCTCATTTATTTGCAGGATTTATTATTCCTTTCTTTCTTTCTTTCTTTTTTTTTTTTTTTTTTTTTTGCGATGGAGTCCTGCTCTGTTGCCCAACCTAGAGTGCAATGGCGTGATCTTGGCTCACTGCAACCGCCACCTCCCTGGTTCAAGTGATTCTCCTGCCTCAGCCTCCTGAGTAGCTGGGAGTATAGGCGCCCACGACCATGCCCAGCTAATTTTCGTATTTTTGGTAGAGACAGGGTTTCACCATCTTGGCCAGGCTGGTCTTAAACTCCTGACCTTGTGATCCACCTGCCTCGGCTTCCCAAAGTGCTAGGATTATAGGTGTGAACCACTGTGCCCGGCCTATTGATTATTTCTAACAACAAAGATTACAGCTGAATGACCTCAGGCATACCGATTTTCACATTTTCTTCTTGGGACGTATCCCTCAAAATGGCAGCCTCTATTGAGCTTGCCCAGGCTCTCCGGCCTCTCTCTTTAATCAAAGCAGTTCTAGAGCACCTCTGCTTTGACAGGACTTTCTTGAGAGGAAAGGTCTTGGGGAAAGGTCACACAAAACGACTACATAGAAGAGGGTTCTCCCAAGAGTTAGGTTACACAAGATGCCCTAAGTTGGATTCAACAGAATCAACCTAGTAGCTTTAGCCAAGATCAGAATCCCATACTGTAATTTATTAGTAGTAACTAGCCACCTAAAGGAGTATAAAGGGAAGGATTCTGGTTGAATTTCAATTTCAGAGGGAAAAGTGCTATGACTAGTTATCAAATTCTGTCATAAGCATGAGAGGGTAGGGTATTGGAGTCCTGTTGTAAGATGTAGTAAGTGGCTTATTTTTTTTTTTTATTTTTATTTTTTATTTATTTATTTATTTTTTTTTGAGGCGGAGTTTCACTCTTGTTACCCAGGCTGGAGTGCAATGGCGCGATCTCGGCTCACCGCAACCTCCGCCTCCTGGGCTCAGGCAATTCTCCTGCCTCAGCCTCCTGAGTAGCTGGGATTACAGGCACGCACCACCACGCCCAGCTAGTTTTTTGTATTTTTTAGTAGAGACGGGGTTTCACCATGTTGACCAGGATGGTCTCGATCTCTCAACCTCGTGATCCACCCGCCTCGGCCTCCCAAAGTGCTGGGATTACAGGCTTGAGCCACCGTGCCCGGCCGTAAGTTGCTTATTTTTAGAGGTATTCAAGGGAATGGTATTGGGCTTCTTTTTGCAGAATAATGCCCTGTTTTATTAGAAGAATTATGCTTTCTTTTTGGTCTTTCTCTTATTGGCTGGGCATGGCATATCTTTGTGGGTATCATCCATGATAATTTGTACATTGGAGACCATTGCTATAATATATAGTTATTAGGTGTTAAGAAATGATATACATTTGTTTGGGATAAGTGGAGGTATGAGTATAACCAATTTAGTTCATTTTTTTTTCCTTCCTTTTTTGTTTTTAAGAGACGGGGTTTCAGGGCCGGGCGCGGTGGCTCAAGCCTGTAATCCCAGCACTTTGGGAGGCCAAGGCGGGTGGATCACGAGGTCGAGAGATCGAGACCATTCTGGTCAACACGGTGAAACCCCGTCTCTACTAAAGATACAAAAAAATTGGCTGGGCATGGTGGCACGTGCCTGTAATCCCAGCTACTCAGGAGGCTGAGGCAGGAGAATTGCCTGAGCCCAGGAGGCGGAGGTTGCGGTGAGCCGAGATCGCGCCATTGCACTCCAGCCTGGGTAACAAGAGCGAAACTCTGTCTCAAAAAAAAAAAAAAAAAAAGAGACGGGGTTTCACCATGTTGGCCAGTATGGTCTTGAACTCCTGACCTTATTATCTGCCCACCTCGGCCTCCCAAAGTGCTGGGATTACAGGCTTGAGCCACCGTGCCCAGCTGTTTTTTTTTCTTTTACTTTTGCTTTTTTTTTTTTTTGAGGTGGGGTCTGGCTTTGTTGCCCAAGCTGGTCTCGAACTCCTGAACTCTAACAATCCACCCACCTCAGTCTCCCAAATTGCTGAGATTGCATGTGTGAGCCACTGCTCTTCGTCTACTGTTTTTTTTTGTTTTTGTTTTATTTTTAATGGCAAAATATATATAACATGAAATTTATCATTTAACCTTTTTTCCTTTTGTTTTTTTTTTTAAGAGTCTCACTGTGTTGCCCAGGCTGGATTGCAGTGCCATGGTCATAGCTTACTGCAGCATTAAATTCCTGGGCTCAAGCAGTCTTCCCACCTCAATCTCCTGAGTAGCTAGGACCATAGCTATGTGCCACCATGCCCAGCTCATGTTTTAGTTTTTTTGTAGAGACAGGGTTTCGCTATTTTGCCCAGGCTGATCTTGAACTCCTGGCCTCCAGCAATTCTTCTATCTTGGCATCCCACAGTACTGGAATTACAGGCATAAGTCACCATGCGTGGCCCATTTTAACCATTTTTAAGTGTGAAATTTGGTGGCATTCAGTGTAAATCACTACTAGTATGTGCTAGGTGCTAAAGAAATGTTGGTTGGATCACAGTAGAGCAAGTACGGGTGATCCCAGCCATCAGCTGAAATCTGTATGCTTTAGCCAAGACTAGGCTCCCATGGGCCTACCACCACATTGTAATAGAAGGTGCTATAATAAGATAGCGTGAAGATTTTTTGAATTCTTAAATATAGATACCTAGTGAAAGAACTTAGGATAAAGAAAGGAGCACAGGTTTGGAGTAAGAAAAGCTGCTTCTGGTCTGAATTGCCGCAGGTTAGCTGTGTGTCCCTTGGCATGTCACTTAACTTTTTTGAGAATCATTTCCTTCATCAATGCCTACTTCACTGTGCCTTCGTAAGGATTGAATGAAATACCATCCATGTAAATTATAAAGCATTATCTCATTGTGGAGTATTGGCAATATTATCACTGTGAAGAAGGCATATTAACAAGCCTTATGGGATGGGATGAGGGTTCGATGTGGTAAAATGGTGGGGCAGCACTTAGGCAGTGTTCTGTACTCTGAAGTGTGTATGTGTGTGCATTTTCCAGTCAGTCAGGATAAAACAGCACTAAGGAGGGTCTGAAGTCTAAGGACCTTGAAAAATATTGCAAATTCTAAAATAAAAATTAGCTTCTTCTGAATAACCGAAAATACAAAAGTTAAAAATCTCAGTACAGTTAGCCAAATAAGCTCCTGAACTCAAAGTGTATGTGTCTGTGTGTGCATGTGTGTGTTGAATGTACTCCTTAGAGCTTAAAACCAGAAACACAAATATGCTTTCGGGTTAGAACACTGTGCCAAGTCTCAGCCCAGAACAGCTATTTACAGCAGCTGTAAATCCCCCTAGATAGGAACTGGTAATGGGAAATGTGACCAATCCCTTTAGCACGGAGTGGTGAGGAGGACCACCAGGCACTGCTATAATAATTGGAGACAATTCAAATGAATAAGTAATGAGATAAATAAATATTTAAAGGTACTCCAAGATAAAAACTCAAAAGTGACTTTCTAATTTGTTGAAGTGAAACACAAACTCATACTCATGTATAAGTAGAATTCTTGCTTTGATTCTATCTACTTGCTTTTTTGTGTGTGTGAGTTACTACCCATTTAGCTGATTTTAGAACTTTGTGCACTTGTGACACAAGTTGAAATCATGGATACGGTATGGCCAGTGATGGGTTCCTCCCTGCCTTTTCTTATGTAAAGGCTGACTTGCAGTTATTCCAAGGAAAAAACTTTCATCATCTGTTGAGCTTGCTGTCCCCTAGACCTCTTCATTCGTCATGAAGACTTTCCAGTAGAGCTCGCTTCCTAAAGTGCATGTGGGTCTCTTTACCTTGTGATGGTTTCTTTGTAAATAATTAAGAGGCAGGGAGAGATGTCTGGCTTGATGGCTAAGTGCTTGATATGTTACAGGCTTGCCAGTGTTTCCCAGGGATGGTTGACCTGAGACTCACCCTGCTGCTGAAGATTTCCAGCAGCCCAGTGTCCTCTTCCTCTCTGGTGCAGTGAAAGATTTGTAGAAGGGCTTCTCCCGGGAAAGTCAGGCTGGCCAGTTATCTGAACATTAGCATGACACCTATTAGAAATTAATGCCAGACTGAAAGTATCTTTAAAACAAATAGTGCTTCTAAACCCTCCTAGGAGGGTAGGAGTCAGATGTGAAAAGATTATTTGTTACCTGGATTCTGTTCATGCCTCAGCTTTTTGGGAGTAGCAGACAGATCAGCTTTTAGAGATCTGTAGTTAGAACTGAAAACACTCTTTGAACTCAAGTCATATATGTGAAAAATTAGAATTATTTAGCCAAATCATCTTTGGTGCCAAGTATTATTATTATACACCAAAAGTAATATGAAGTTTAGATAATTTTTTGGTGACAAGGATTAATCATGAATAAAGAATACTTTTTTCTTTTAAACATGTGAGACAGTAGCATACAATTGTTTTGAAAATTATTTTTAAAAATAATGTACTGATTGCTGTATCAGAGCAATAAGAATGTCACTGATGCAAAGGCATGTATATTTCTTTTCAGTGGAAGTTATTTTTCTAGGTTGGTGTTAAGAGTGTATGGGATGTGAAAGAATATTGTGGACTGATGTTAAATTTTGACAGCCAACTGTTCTATATTTGTTAGCTATACTTTAAGCAGTAAATTAAACGGTTTTGTTTTTTTTTTAAAAAAACTACTTACATTTCTGTAGTGATAGTCTTATGAAATGAAACTGCAAAGGAGAACAGTCTTAAAGGACTATAAATGCTATTCAGTGTGTTTAAGGAGAGCCGAATAGAGGTAGGTGAGAGAATACAACATTGGAGTATTGAAAGGAGAAACATAGTGCTGCAAAAAATTAGGTAGATCCTTTACCCAGTAAGGGTGTACTCTGCACACCCTTTATACTTTATCCATCAAGATGAGCAAAGATTTAGCCTTAGGTTTTAAAAATTTTAGGGATTTCTAACATTTTTATTTGCATGTTATTTAATTATAAATAATATGATTAAAGCGAGGCCCTTTGTTTACAGGGAAAATAAAATGATGTCCTATTTTCATTTTGGTAGATTGATATAAATAAGAGATTTTCATTTTTTCACTTGGGGCTGCCTCAACTGCGACTTGTCTCCTTGTGTTCCTAGGTCAACGGCATGCAGCTGTATGGAAAATCTCGCCGAGAAGCAGTCTCCTTTCTTAAGGAAGTGCCACCCCCTTTTACTTTGGTTTGCTGTCGGAGGTTGTTTGATGATGAAGCTTCTGTAGATGAACCAAGGCCCACTGAAACCTCTCTTCCTGAGACAGAGGTACTAAGTGAATATAGTGTGGTTCCCATAGGCATGCCCATTCATCAAAGATGCCCCGAAGGCTGTACTGCAATATGAAGGGAGAGGAAACCTTCACTCTACTCTTTTTTTTGCTTGACTAAGGCAACAATGCATAGCTTTTCAAATTGTTACTCTTCATTTAACATCCTAAAACTCTTTCCTTCCCTTTCCTTGACATGTTGCCAACATTGATGTACCTGCATTTCGATTTTAAAGAACCTTTGTTTTTTCACTAAGTGCCTGGATTCATTACTTTTGAATTCTAATTCAACTCAGTTTGTCTTATATAAGTTTAAGGTGTCGGTAAGGGTTGTATATCTAATATATTTCCCTTTTTCAGAGCCTTAAAAATTTGAAACTCTACGATAAATTTCAAAGCGAGTCTGGAAATTGCCAGTAATCTCTTCAGAAGATAAGAGAATGAAATAACATTTTATAAGCTCTTGGTACTTTGTTTTTTTTAAAAGAGCATTATAATTATGAAAAGAGATTTGTTTGTTTGTTTGTTTGTTTGTTTGAAACAGGGTCTCCTCAGGCTGGAGTGCAGTGTTTTGAACATGGCTCATTGTAACCTCTGTCTTCTGGGCTCAAGCAATCCTCCCACCTCAGCCTCTCAAGTAGCTGGGATCACAGGCACTTGCCACCATACCCAGATAATTAAAACATTTTTTTTTTCGTACGGTCAGGGTCTTGCCATATTTCCCAGGGTGGTCTCCAAAGTTCTGGACTCAAGCAATCCTCCCACCTCAGCATCCCAAAGTGCTGGGATTACAGGTGTAAGCCACTGTGCCTAGCTGGAAGAGTTTTCAGCACATACTTTGCCATCTTATGCTATTGGTAACCTCATCTTTTATGCTACCTTTCCCCCCTTTTCAATTTCTTTTAGATTGTAATTCCACTGAACACCAGTTTAGATATATGGGTCCTTCCCTTATACTTAAGTTCTGGATTTCAGTACACATGAACCTAAGCCTACCTTTACTATCTAATAGTCATGAATCTTTGGGCAAATAACTTGATTTTCTGTTCATATTTTTCCTTTGAAAAAATGGTGATACTTATCATACTTACCCATCTCATGAGTTTGTGCAAGCAGGAAATGCAGTAATGTGTACAGGTTCTGAACACAATGCCTTGCATGTGGGAAGTGCTCAGTAACAGTGGGCTGTGGTTGTTCAAGTCTCCACCAGTCCATCCGTTTTTGTTTTCTTATGTCCTGAAGTATATAAGAGTCTAACACTGTCTTATAGATACTTCCGTATGTAGCAACCTTGTTTATCCAAGAAGACTGTTAGTTCCTTGCCGGCAAAGGCCATATCTTAAAATTATTTTCTATTTCATAGTGTTTTTATTCTATATTAGGCATATAAGAGGGGCTTGGTAAGTTTTTAATTATTGGTTGACTCTTTCTAAAAGAAAGTTTAAGTTTTATAAAAAAATATTTCAGGGAGGGGACTCAAGTGCCACACTTTTGTGACTTTTGCTATCCTTACCAAAATGAAATGTTAGTGGCTGATAAAAATGCCTTTCGTTTAATCTCTCAAGGTATGTAAATCACAAACCCCACTTGCTGACTCTGTGCCCCCATCTGTCATGCTTTACCACAATGGTGAACAACAGCTTTGAATTATGCTAAATGTCAACCTTGCTGCCCATTAGTTGATTGCTTTCCATTCTGTAAATACAGGAGTTATGCAGAATTGATTGTATCAAAGTGATATATTTCAGGTTGCAGTATAATATCTTATGCACCTTGAATGCCTTGAAATTTCTATAAACACAGGTTTTGTAATTGTATGTGGTTTCTTAAAGTCTTGGCTCTTTTTCCAACGGTCTCTTTTTTCATTTCCCCTAATACCATCTTATGTTCTTAAACCCTATCTGGTTAGGCAGCTCAGCCAAAATTCTAATACTCATTAATCAGTGAGGGTATTAAATGCCCCAGTAAAGCATCAATCATGTTGTATTAGCCATTGGAACTTTACTTTTTGTTGGAAGACATAAGTGTTTTCTTTTTAAGGATATCACTTCCACACGTTAGACTGAAATATGTGGAGGTTATTGATCTATGACGTTTCCACTCATTTCAAGTTTTCAGCTTCAGTTTGTTCCCATGTTGAGGGTCAGCCACGGTGGATTGGTTATTGACCACCCATGTCTTGCAGTGACAGTTTAAGATCTGGACCAAT